ATTCACTGTCCAAATTTCACATGCGTAGAAGCAACTGAAGACTCTGGCTTCGGTCAGGTGCACCTTAGTCTTTAAATGAACCTCACTGCTCTTTAGCTCTTTGGCAAGGTCCCTGGAATCAGATTTTCCCAATGCAACACATCTCCTGATTTAAAAAAAAATAATAATTTTTTGTGTGTGTACCATCAAATCAGATCTGATTGGTAGAGGAGGAGATTGTCCCTGCTTCTTCAGCAGAGGATCTGGTGGATTTGAACCTGCTCACCTCTGGGACTGCAGTGCAGCTTCTTGCCACTTGGTCACCAGAGCTCCCCAGATCTGATTTCTTAGCTGTGGCTATCATGGGTGCTGATTGTGGATCCAAGTAAAATGAAAATAGTTGACAACTACAATCTTATCATTTATCACAATGTTGCCGCCTCCTGATCTAGAGGTGAGGATTTTTTCTGCATGGGGAGATGGGATCCACATTGAAGGCTGTAGTCTTTGATCTCCTGCAGCAAATATAAGTCCTCTTCATTTTCAGCAAGTAAAGCTGTACCATGTCTTTACATAGGTTTGTCGACAGGTCTTCCTCCAAACCTGCTGCCATTTTTTTTATATTTTGGATTTCCATTTATTCATTGTTGCACTTTTCTTCCTGCCCAGTCCCCCTCCTCATTTGCCATGTTTTTCTTAATATAGTTCAGCTTCTGAACTATGTGTGCAGCATCCAGGGTGAAGTTATGCACAGATGTAACCCTGATGCACACCTTTCCCGACTTTAAACCATGCTGCGGGGCAGAACTAGTTTCTCTATTTGGTCGACAAGGAAGCAGAGACTCAGGAAGTGTCTCTGTGGCAGTTCCAGGACTTGATCTGAGGTCACCAGCCAAGACCAGCGAATGCAGGCTACCTCCTAGGTGCTGCTGCCCAAGAGGGAGGAGACTTGACCTTGATTGAGCAGCTGGATGTGGGAAGGGTGGGGCCACCAATGAGGAAAAGGGAGGTTTTCAGGGTCAGGTCTGACAGGAATGTGGAGCCAGAGGAACCAGGACAAGCCACCTTTGGGAAACGGCCAGGAGATGACTGTTCTGGCTTTGGGTCTTCACACTGGCCCACCCCATGTCCCCAGCGGCCTCTTCCCAACATCCTTCCCAGGAGCCTCACCTTGTCTGTGGGAGAGGCCTGGACGGTCACTTTCGGAGGCCGCCATGGGTTATTGCTCTCATTTGTTCACCCTGGGCTTCCAGGCCATGATTTCAAGCGTCATTTTTTCCTAACTCACTTGCCATGGAGTGGCCACCGACTCAAGGTAGCCCCAGGAGATGGCCAGGCCTTTCTTCCGAGGCATCTCTGGGTGGACAGCCTTCTGGTTAGCAGTGGAGTGTGCCTAACTCCCCCTCAGCCTCATCATTCCATCTGACCCGCCCTCATGCAACCCCTCACGCAGTCAGGGCGACTCTGCTCCTCAGGGCGGGCCGCAGCCTCATTTCCAACTGCACAGGTTCCCAGCCCAGTCAGATCGTAGCACGTTGTACAGTCCTGTCTGAGGGCACCTTCCAAACGTCTGGAATCTGCCCCCCTCCCCTGCACCAGCTGCTGTCACGCCAAGGCCCAGCTCTGCACTGCGCAGTCTTTGTGAGGGGTCCTCTTCTCCACGTAGGACCTCTGCAGGCCCCTAGAGGGAGAGAGGGGAGGAGGAAGTGAAGGAGTAACGAATGGAGAAGGCACCCGGTGAATTCCGGAAGCCTGCGGGTTCTAGATCTGCCCCAAAGGAGCCATACTGCTTCACTGTTCTGCTTCTCCAGTCTCAGTGCTGCCCACGGCCTGCCCAGCCAACAGTGGTCACTTATACACCAAGGCCTGGAACCGTGCTAAGTTGCTGTGAGGTATCACTGAGTCAACCATGAGCGAACACATCTCAAGGCTGTGCTATCTCAAGTCCATGGTCAGTCACAGTCACTGTCAATGCACCTCATGAAGGCTCTTCTCTTTCTCAGCATGATGTCCTTCCAAGAAATACCCTTCTGAGAACATGACAAAGTTTACCCAACAGAATAATTCAGAGGCAGATGCGATTATCTCATTTTATAGATGAAGAAAGTGAGGATTGAGGAATAATGTGGCCCAGTCACAGAGCTAGAAGACCCAGAATTCAAACCCAGGTCTGAACAAGCCCACGCAGACTCCGCTGCCTCGCCTCCTCCTGTGGTGTAGGAAATGCTGGTAACTGGTGCCACCCAGCTCTCCTGTTCCTGGAAAACAAGACCTCTGTGCCCTCTGTGCCCGGCAGGATTACGGACCTGCTTCCTCCATTCTGGACAAGCTGGAATAAAAATCGAGCTGGCCGCAGCTGCTCAATGCCCCGCATTCCTCGGGCGGTGCCAGGCGGAGTTCAGCTGTGCCTGCCCCTCTCACAAGGCTGCCGGCTGCCCAGTGCCGTCGCTGGGCCTGGGCCAAGTCACTGTGAGATGGCCCTGGGCCAGATCTCACACACTGGGCCTGTGTGATCTTGAGCTCCTGAAACGGGCTGGCTCCTGGCAATGTAAGAACGGGGCTGAGAGGCTGGGACACAGCACTCTGCCCCGACACAATTCTGACGATGGACAAACGAGACTTAGGGCACGAAATGAACTAAGGGATTCTGACCTTGACTTTTAAAAGTTAGCCATGGTGGGGAGGGGTGGGAAGGGAGAAAAGTGCAACAATGAATGAATGGAAATCCTCAGTCTCTGTAAACTTTCATTAAAATTAATAATAATTAAAAAAAAATTAAAAAAGCCATGAGGTTGGGGAGGATGTGAATTCCTAAGCCACCCACCAAACTTCAGGACGAGTGGAGGATACCAGTTGGGAGATGAAGGTGCTGACTGTTCTTTAAGGAGGAATCAACACAACCCATCCACTGCCAGACAGAAAAAAGTAGGTGAAGTGGGGAGGGGATTTGTCATGGATGGTGTCTCCCCAAAAATGCGTCAATGTGGCTGGGCCACGATTCCCAGTGCAGGGGAGCGATGTTGTGTGATGAAAATTCTAAGCTCTTTATGATCCCACCATTACCTCAGTTCATGTCATATGCCATGTGGTCTACCCACCAGGTAGCTTTAAGAGGCACAGAATGGGATCCAACAGTCTTAATTACGACAGAGCCCTGATTCGATGAAAGGCGTGTCTCTGAGGTGTGTCACCTTGTCTTGTGAGAGATACAAAGTAAGTAGAGGGGGGCCCTCAGTACCACCATGTAAAGATGACCAGGAGTGTGGAGCATGTCCTCTGAACCGAGGTCCTGGCCCGGGGACAGTCCTGCCCACAGGGGGCTCCAAAACTGAAGATCTCTGAGTGGACAGATCTAGACTGCCTTCCCCTAGGGCGCATACCCTGAATCTGGATCTACAGCCTCTGAAACCGTTAAGAGAATCAATTCATTGAAGCCCCCCTTCCTCCCTCAATACTGCTTGCTCACTCTGCCTCAGACACTCCAGTCTTTGGGTTTTACACACATGCTTCATTTTCCAATCCAGACACCAGCTCGGAGAAGTCAGAGTAAACTAATGACACTGTGGAGACCCGAATCCAAGTGCCAACCCTTCAAGTCAGTGGCTCTTTCTTCATCTCTAAACCCCTTTATGCCAGAAAATGCAAAGGAACTAGACGCTCACAAGGTGCGCAGAAGGCCCGGCTCAAGAACTCTTAACCAAATCCCCCGGATGCAAACACTCCATCTCTTTGGGGCTGACGTGCCTCTGTTTTAGGGGCCACCTACTGCTGTTTCAACTCTTCTCGAAAATCTAGAAAAACATTTCTAAAGAGAAAGGGGAGGAAAAAAATTTGGGGGGAGTGGGCAGTGAGAAAAGTGCAACAGTGAATGAATGGAAATCCAAAGCCTCTGTAAACTCTCATTAAAATCAATTAAAAAGAAGTTTGGGGACCAGAAGGCTTGCCTTTCTCACCTTAATTTGACCTCACACAAGTTACTTACCTACTCAAGCCTCTTTCCTCGTCAGTAAAACCACACCTACTCTCAAAATGAGCTCGGACAGGGCTTGTTCTTGAACACAGACCCCAAAGCTCTAAGACCTTCTGATCTTTGTCGTGTAGGTCTGATGAGGTGACCTTTAGATTCAGTGATGTTTTCAAGTACCAGCATATGTTTGTTTGCTGTGCTTTGTTAAGACTAGCAGCCAGCTCTGATTAAGCCCACAGGGACAGAAGGCTGTTGGGTTCAGAGGTGTGGAAGATGGGACCCCTAAATGTCAGCCACAGCACAGCTGTTTTAGGAAGGGGTGGTCGGGAGAAGTGCCAGGAAGTGGGCATCGCTTCTTGGGACGGCATGTGAGGGTGCTGATGGACAAGCAGGGCTATGAACTCATCCAGGCTACGCACGACACTCCCAAGTTCTGTCAGTGCAGAAGCAGCAGGGTCAAGAGGGAAGCGTTAAAAGGCAACAATAGAAAAAAAAAATAGAAAAAAAATTTTTTTTAAAAAAAAAAAGGCAACAATAGCAAATGTTAGTTTGGAGGCAAGCTCTGACCTTGATCATGTCATTGAATATCCCAAGTCTATTTTCTCATCAGTGAAACAGAAAAGAACACGAGAATTAGAGCAAAGGGTCTAAAAAGTATGGAGAGCCCCTGGTACTGCTCCTGGCCGCCCTCCAGCCCCGATGCCCTCACTAAGAAGCCATGTAAACAACAGGCTGTTTAAGGTTCTGGGAAGGCCCCACCGAGATGGAGAATGGGTTGGAGCCCTGGAAAGCGGCGAGCACTCCGTGATAAATGAATTCACAGGGGTGCTGATAATCATCACAGGGACACCATCACAACACAGGACATTCTGCACTGTTGCACCAGCCACAGACTCTTGCCAGCAATGACACACATCTGGCTCCAAAGAAGGTCCTTTACTGAGAGCTGCTTAAAATATTCCAGTCCTTAATTCAAATAAATTTCATTTCAGCTGACGACTGATTCAGGCAAAGGCTTCTGGGTGCCAAAGCAACGGGGGAGGGCGTGATCCACTCACGGCCGCTGGCCCATCTTCTTCAGGGTTCGATTGAGCTAGATGGGAAGAGAAGCCAGGTCAGCATGCGATTTCCTCACACCTTTCCCTGCAGAACACCAGGACAGACTCGCAGTGCCCCTTAGGAGCCTCTGATGTGGCCAAGTGTCCACAAGGTGGTACCCGCACAGCTGACCTTCTATTTTCCCTTCACCCCCATAGAGTTTACTAATTTTAGAGATGAGGAAAGGGATTCAGAGGGACCTGGCTAGTGATGGTGATCAGTGTAGTCAGTAAGGAACTGGAACCTGAAGTTGGATTTCTTAAATTCCCTTCCACAAAACAGGACCCTGGTTAGAAGACGACTCCAGGCACCCCCACACCCCCAAACGTGATGTGAACAACTCCCAAGTCCAGATAGTGCTGGGGTTGGACCATCAGACAGACAGAGAGCACAGGAGTCAGGTGCACAGAGCACTGCGGAACAGCGACCCCTGCTGGAGGACGCACTGCGCAGGGCCGCAGGGGCCCCCTGGGCCCCACGTCCCTGCCATGCCTGGCCTGACCTATACTCCTCCTACAGCAAGATGGAGAGCGCAGAGCCTGTCAGTGTGCCTGCTGCAACTGGCCAGACCTGTCTCAGAGGAGAGCGGCTGCCAAATGGGAAGGGTGGAGGCGTGGGCCGTGAATCCGCCCATATTAGGAAATGGCAGAGGCAGCGCAGGCCACCCTCAGAGAGACTTTGGAAAGAGATGCTCTTGAGAACGCTGACACAGCAACTCCTCCCCTCAAGCCCTCTCCTCAAACCCCAAGCAGACAGCCAGTCTCGCTCAGAAACTTAAAGGGCCAATTTCAGACTTTCCTGAGAACAGAGTGGAGAAGCAGGAAATTTTACAAGTCCCTAAAGCAGTTTCTGACCTCTGGCCCGGGTCAACACACTGTCCCCTCAGGCCTCTTACCTCCTCAAATTTATGGATCTGACGGATGAAGAAATCCCCGTACCGCCTGGCAACCTTGGTGTCTGCGATGTGGATCATGTCCTGCGGGGCGGGGGAACGGGATCAGAAAGACAGTGAGACCCCAGAGTCAAGACCATCTAATCCACAAAGCTGTCTGCAAGCAGGACACAAAACAATGACGCTGAGATGCTCTTCAGAAGCAAAGGAGAGCGTGGCCACCAAGCCCACCCTACGGAAGGGCACGGCCCCAGAGCAGTCCTCCCTTCGGGGGGGGGGGGGTTTGCACTGTCTTCCTGTTAACTCGCTCTTGTCTAGTCTTTTCCAAAACACAGGAATCTTTCAGAAACATAAAACATTGTTTTATTCTCATTTGATAGGTTTGCACATTAGGTAAATCTTGAATTTTTAACTAAATATATTTCATGACATGTGATTCCTCTTGCAAAAGTTTTAGATAATCTAGGTTAAGGTCCAAGAACTTTCTGAAACTTCTCTTTTTTCCCTTCTGAAACTTCTCTCACTAGACCCTCAAATCAAAGCTTAAGAAAGAAAAAAAAAAAAAGAAATAAAATTCCTCAAAACAAGTCTGAGTTATCATCAGGGTTGGGAGTGGAACTAAGAAAAGAGGGGATAAAAAATGGCACTGGGACAGATGAGGGAGAGAACTGTTTAAAAGGAATATATGATTAGGTATTATCTGCACGACAACAGTCCAGAATAAGAACTGCATAGTAAAGTCGACTGGCGGGGACTGTAAAACAATGAAATTTTTTTTCTTTTTCTTTTCATAGAGAAAAGCAAACTGGGGGGGAGGGGTGGGCAGGGAGGAAAATATGCAACAATGAATGAATGAATCCAAGTTCCTTATAAACTTTCATTAAAAATCTCAATTAAAAAAGGGGTGGAAGATTCCCACAAACAAAAAGGAACCCCCCCCCCACACACACACAAACTTGAACCTGAACAAGCAACACAATAAACCAATCAGAAGCATGCAATCAAATTGTTTTTATGCATGGACTTTAACATATGATTCAACGAGATAAAAACAGATGAACATGAATCATGAATTTCAAGCAGATAAAATAAAAAATTCCTCCCCATATCATCACATTCTATCAACTGAGTCTAACTCAGGTGCACATGACTAATTTGACCTGAATATTACCTCACAAGCAAACCTTCTTTGTAAGAACCTATTGTTAATGCTTCTAAGTGTTTTGTTAAAAATCATCTAGACAGTTGAGACGAGTTAGATGTGGGCAAGAAGCATAGTGGAAAAAACAAACCACCCAGGCTCCAACTCTCAGGTCTTTCCTTGGCTCCTTTTTAAATGAATTTTAATGAAAGTTTACAGAGACTTTGGGTTTCCTTTCATTCACTGTTGCACTTTTCTCTCTGCCCACACCACCCCCAATCCCCACTTTAAAATAGTAAAAGAAAAATTCTTTCATTGTTACACAATCCATTCCCCCAAGTCCACTCTACTATGTCTTTTCTTAAATTTAAGAGCTATGGTTCAAAACAACTGTGAGATATCATCTCACCCCAGTAAGAATAGCAAAATTCAACAGAGCAGCAAACAGCAAATGCTGGTATGGTTGTGGAGAAACTGGAACCCTTATTCACTGTAGGTGGGAGTGTAAAATGGTACAACCACTGTGGAAGACAGATGGTGCTTTCTCAAAAAGTTGGAAAAAGAAATACCATTTGACCCAGCAATTCCACTACTGGGAATATACCTAAAGAAACCGTAACCGCCACCTAAACAGATACATGCACACTCATGTTTATTGCTTCTTTGTTCACAATAGCAAAGAGTTGGAAACAACCCAAGTGACCATCAACAAACGAACAGATAGAGAAGTTCCGGTATATTCACACAATGGAATACTATGCTGCACTGAAAAACAAGGAACTTCACCACAACAAGATAAAGGTAAATAATCCAATAGAAAAATGGGCACAGGAAATGAACAGACACTTCACTGAAGAAGACATTCAGATGGCTAACGAGCACATGAAGAAATGTTCAAAATCCCTAGCTCTAAGAGAGATGCAAATTAAAACAACTATGAGATATCATCTCACCCCAGTCAGAATAGCAAAAT